CAAAGAAGAGGTGGATCTAGCGGCGCTGAGAAATGGCCACTACGACATTTTCGTCCTTGGTGGCAACCACAGTCGGGAGGCTAGGGAACGGTTGTCATGCATGAACCCYGACAACRACGACTACAAGCAATGTCTGCTATGTTTACGTYGGCCTCACGGTCRACGAGGCGAGGCAGGTYGCCCACATGCACAACCTCGCTGCCGGCTACCACCGGGACTACAGCTTCATCRAGAAGCTCAGGTGTTGGYGACAAGTCTTTGAGTGCATGGGGTCCGTCAAGTCGGCAGAAGTTAAACTCTTTTGCCTGAAAGAAGCTATGATTCCGAACGCGGCGAAGAAATTGGGAGCCCAAGATGCGTTGCTGCAGTGTGCTTTTAAGCCCAAAGAAATTTGGGACCTCATGTGCAAGATAATGAATATGTGGCAGAAGGGTGAGGTCAAAGGCCAGAAACTGAAGCCGGCAACGAAAAACATCCTGAAATCGGATCAGGATCTGGAATCGAGCGAGTCGGAGGACGGAAAGAAAAACCAGCGTGGGAAGAGGCTTGAAAGGGCAGCTGCGAAGGAGCAAGAGATGGCGCTTTTGCACCCTCGAGTGCAAATGCAGGGTAGCAAAGTCTCCATGGTCGCCGACGACATGCCCGCCCAACATTGGATAGCCATGGGTAGTATGGCTCAAGAGCACGCCGTCCCTATCCTCCTTGAGATGGAGAAGAAGTTCCAGCTTGTCAAGCAAGTCGCGTATGCCTGCAAGGCCTTCGCAGTGGGGGTGGGTTGTGCTGACTTCAAGGAGGCCGAGAAACAGTATCCTCTCCACACGAAGAAAGACATGTTGGAGAAGTTCGTCAGTGGCGTCAGGAGGGGTCAGAAGAGTATCCCCGCACTGAATGGCTATATTAAAAGGGCTTTGAACTGGAAGAGTAAGGAGAGGAGACTGCAAGCAAAGGAGGCTCTTCACGCGTTCCGTTCGACACCTCTCACGGAGTCCTTCGTCGACTGGACGGAGGTGAAACATGAGAACGACGCGGCGAAAGTGAAGATTATCAACAGCGACATACGCCTGATGTCAAAGCTGCAGATGGAGAAGCTGCCAATATCTCTGGCGATTTTCGACTTCCTTTATGGCTTCGAGCACGAGGGACATGCGTCTGATCATGAGCTGTTTCCGGAGTCGGACATTCTAGAGGTTCTTCAGAATCTGAAGGACGTGTATAGTGCCCCCTTGTGGACAGTTGCGGGATTCAGCTCAGTGGACATGCTTCCTTCTATTCGCTTCGCGTTCAGAGAAGTTTGCAATGCAGGGTAGGAGCTTTTGACGTGGTGCAAGCCCAATGTGATGAATCCCGGTGGGCCTCGACTTGTGAGTGCGACGAAATTCTGTGTGTTGGGCTACTACAGCCAGACTGGGCATCGCGAGATGGCGCACTGCAATTTTGATCCTACGGATCCGCGTCACTACTTCCAACTCTTTAATGTTGTCACGCAGAAGTACCAGCACCCTAGCGGCAGTGTCCTCTGCCCGTACCAAAAGCCGTACAGTTTGTACTCCTGGCTTGTGAAAAAATTTTCTCCTGCGGGGGCCTGCATTCTAAACGGTTTCTCCGGCTCTGGCACAGGCGCCATTGCGTGTGTCAAGGCGAATCGGAATTGCCTCGTGGTGGAGATAAACACAAAGTGCGCGAAGGGNAACGGTTTCTCCGGCTCTGGCACAGGCGCCATTGCGTGTGTCAAGGCGAATCGGAATTGCCTCGTGGTGGAGATAAACACAAAGTGCGCGAAGGGCATCGCGATGAGGCTTCTGACAGACATCGATGACACACTCGCATGTAAAACGCCGAAGAGGAAACAGAAGGCATCGCAAGGCAGCCCGGCCTCGAACCTGTCTGGGGACACGGAATATGCCGGTATTGAGCTTGTGGTCGACGGGGACACGGGCACTGCTGCTGGAGTGGCGCGGATCGTCGGGCAGGGCGCACCGGTAGTTGTCGGGCCGTCTTGTGTACAGAAAACTGCTTCCGGGCCATCTGCTGAGCCTGCTTCCAGACCATCTGTTGAGCCTTCTGAACATGGTGCCGGGCAGGCCGGTGAGCGGCCATGTGTTTCCAGCGAGCCTGCTCCCGTGCTCGTTCCTAAGGCTGTTCCCGATGCTGGACCTGAGGCTGAGACGCAACTTGTGGTCACGACTGCTCCCGCTTCTGCAGATGTTCAGCAGAATATCCTGAGCCTCGCCTTGAGCCAGGATTCAGACAGAACGACTGCTGGCGGCAGGAGAGGGCGCAAACAAAAGGGCGGTGGCGAAGAGGTATCGAGTCCACCGGGGGGGGTAACGATTGCCCTCAAGGCCAACACTCGCTCACGAATTGGGAAGTGAGTGCGGTTGTAGCCCTGTGCCCACCTCGGCTGAG